GGTTCTAAATAACTTTATAACGGCTTACATTAGAGCACTAAAACTTCTTCACTTTTTCAACATCATAATCTTTTTATGCAAATGATATGGGTGGAGGACAGTCAAACGACGGGTCGGTGTTTCAAAAATCGTAAATGGTTAATGATATTTTTTTAAATTAAGCTAAATTTATATATTTAAAATGTCTTGAAAAATGAATGTAATAACATGTGTCACATGTTAATATCTGTCAGAAGTAAAGCTATTTATTTTTAAAATGTTTTTCAGAGGTACTTTTTAAAAATCCTCCCTTGCACCCTAACCATACAAGATACCGGTCTAATTCTTTTTACAATAAGCAGGCCTTGAAAATTTGGACTAGGGACATTTATCACAGTTCCCTATCTAAACTGTAAGGGCAACCCCCCCCCCCCCCTCAATGGGGATTCGGGATAGGGTTAAGCATAGCTTAGGATCCGGATCCAGATCAGATGGATCCGCAATATTTTGGATTCCTGAATCCGGATCCATGGATCCGGAACCAAGGGGGATAATATCAACCAAAAACAAGAATCTTTTGCTTTCCAAACCTAAATCTGAACGGCTAAAAAAAGAGAGATTATCATAAATGTCCCTGTACTCCCTGTACTCCCTGTACTCTCTGTACTCCCTGTACTCCCTGTACTCCCTGTACTCCCTTATTTTGAATTAGGTTTTAAGATGAAAAAATGTAAAAAATCACAAGCATAAGTGAAAATCAATTTTTTTTAGCATTTTGATATGGGTGCAAGCAACAAAATCGGCGTAAAAACCTGGGTAAACATTTTTTGTCTGTATCTATTTTTTTAGCATTAAAAAATTGTTTTTTTTTTGCTTTAAATCTGTCAATTTTAAATATGTTTTTAATCTGAAATTTGATTTGTTTCCACAATACAAATTTATTGAATTTCTGTTAACAATTTTTTGTTTCATTTGTATTAGTGTTTTTTTTTACATTTTCATGGGCGGACACAACATTACACCAGGGGGTGCAAGATTCTTTAAGGTACAACAATCTTGACCTGAAAAACTCAGAAAGGGTTAAAATTAATGACTAAAAACTAAAAAGCTGGATTTTTTACTTTTCACATCATTTTAGATAGGTATTTTGCCTGTTTTGCATTATGTTTTTGAGAAGCTATTTGCATTAAAACAAAACAAAACCTGGAGGTATAAGATGTATTGGATTTGTGTTAATGTTTTCGTTATTAAGGGTTTCACTGTAATTAATCTATAAATAAATGTATTATTTAAAAATATTAATACTTCATTAAAGTATTTCCTCCACTCGACGAACTTCTTCTCCTTGAGGAGATGGATACAGACGAACTCCATGATCAGACCGTTTAGTTTCCCTAGAGTTGGGTTTGTTTTTGAATATCTTATATGTGAGGTCAAACTGGGTCAAACAGTCATTTATCCTGACGTTGAGCTCTCTCAATATCCGCGTTAGAATGATATCTGAAAGCTTTCTTGAGTGCAACAACGCATTGTTGTTTATATCCTTCATCTTTCATCTCCCTCGATGGATCCATAGAGGCTACAGGGTCTTGAAATACATCAAGCATATCCGAAACTGTCATCTGTCCAGACCAATTCTGCAATTCCTTCATCTCCCTCTACTTCATCTCCCAGTCCTTGTATGTTGGTAGAGATTTCCTTTTCCTTGCCGGTTAACTGAATATTCCTTTAACCGGAGTTTGCAGTAATCTATGAAGCTCTTGAATATCTTTAATTTCCAAAGAGAATAGAATATATTAGAGGGGAATTTACTAGAAAAAGTGTAAAACAACCATTTTGTTGTACTGTTGCCATACTGCAGGTGTACTTCACATGTTTGCGCTATATAACCTTTTGGGCCCTGGAACATCATTTCATTGAAAATCTAAAATTAATATTAAAAGAAACCCAAATTATGAAATAGGCTGGTTTCATAATTGACCAATGATCATTTCACATAGACTGAGGGATTATTTAAATTCCACTCTAATGCATATTCTATTCTCTTTGTTAATTTCAGATCTAACTATCTGATATATTTGATCTTGAATCCAGGCTGGACAAAGATCAGGGAACAAGGTACGCATCCCTGTCATCATCTCCTTCTCTAGTTCCTCCTGGGGATCCAGCTCAACCTAACCGAGGTCTTTGGAGAGGTAGGGTTCCTAGATCTATCCTGTACAAGAGAATGAGCTCTGAAACCTCCCTCAGAAGGAGTTTGGGACCTGGAACCACCCTCAGAAGGAGTTTTGGACCTGGAACCACCCTCAGAAGGAGTTTGGGACCTGGAACCACCCTCAGAAGGAGTTTTGGACCTGGAACCACCCTCAGAAGGAGTTTGGGACCTGGAACCACCCTCAGAAGGAGTTTGCATCCAGGATCCACTTTGCACAGGAGTTTGGGCCTGGGAACCAATCTCATTTTAATCGTGTAAATGTAGGGTTTCCACCGGAATTCCGAGTTATGGTTTACGTACTGAAATGATCCGGAAATTTTTTCCATTTCCATGTTATGGAAAAGGTTCCGGAAATCCGGAATTCCCAAACGATTTCCGGAACGATTTTTCCCGTAAACCGGAAATTTCCGGAACTTTGTTCCGGAATCATGGAAGGTTACGGAATATTATTTCGGAAAATTCCTGTTTACGGAACAATCATTCCGGAATTTTCCGGGAAAAGGTTCCGGAAAACATCTTAAACTTATGTAAAAGATAAAACCAGTGAGTAATATTATCTAGATAATAATAGAATGTGCGCCTGGTTTAGCTGTATTTAAAGTAATACTACTGTGAATTATCATGAGATATAAATCCTGACTGCCATAAGATCACTTTTAAATAGGTGTGTATACAGTATAGTATATATTACGTAATTACCGTGTCTCATGTTCGTTGAACTATTTAAAGTCATAAAACATAAGTCTAAAAGTCGTCCTCCTATTCCAGAGTTTTCTGGTTCTCACTCTATTTATATACTTTGCTCGTCTGTTTGTTTGTCCGTTTGTATACAATAAACGTCAACACAGTTGAATCCACCGAGTCCAAAATTTTTGAGGCAACTCGCATGGCTCAAGGAAAGTTTTAAAACTGGTTAAACAAATTGTGCAGGAAAAAATGTCGAAATTTATTATTTTTTAATTCACCAATTTAAAGCCTAGTTTTTATAAACTCTTATTCATATGGTTCATTTCATCCCATCCTGATCAAATACGGAGGGGAGAGTGGGGGGGCTAAGCCGATGACCCTCTTGAAAAAGAAAAATAATTTGTCAAAAAAATTTTTGGGGAAAGTGAAAACTGTAACTGTAAAATAGTCATGATTAACTACAGTAAACTATTTGTGAATATATAATTATAGAATAGAATGCGTATTTAATATATGTCAATTAATAAGTTTTAACTTTTAATGTTTTAACAGCGTGGAAATTTTACAAATTTCCGGTTTACAAAATGGAAACTGGAAACTTTACGGTTTCCATTCCGGTATCCATTTGATTCGGAATTATCCCGGAATTCCGGTTTACTCTTCAAATTTCCGAATTTCAAAAATGCAAATTTTTTTCCGGAAAAATTGAAACCCTATTTCGAACTATTTACTAATACACATTGACACAAGAAATATCAAAAGGGGGTGGGGTTGCAATATATTGTAAAAAAAAACTTGAATCCAAAATTGATACCTGGCCGCATAGTTATACAAAACACTTTTACTTTTGAGTCGATGAAAATGCATTTCAACCCTATTCTCTAAGGCCTTTTCTAGGGGGGGGGCGCCAAACGCTCACCCCAGGCTTTACATAGATTCAGACCCCCAGCCTTTATAAGAAATTACGATTCAAGTCGAAACTTTCAAATCGCGGGCTCAGGTCCTCTTAACTTTCTTTTTATTCCAATCTTATTTTAAGGAATTTTTTATTAGGCAATTCAAAAGTTTGCAGATTTTCTGTGTTTGTTTTGATTTCATGTCAATCAAGATTTAAATCATCATAACCAATAATATGTTTCAAATAACTTTCAAATTTTCAATCTAAATATGAATGTATGGATCTAAAAAACTTTAAATTCTTTTGTAAATCGAATTCACTATTATGTCCTGTGCACGTTAACGATAAAAGCCTAAACAATGTGTATTTCTCCGCCCAGGGCATTTCGTAACAATAAATGCGTCAGTGTATGCTTCAAGATTGCGTATTTACTTTTATTACAAATATTACAATGGAATTGATAGACAAGCGTCACGTATAAGGTTTTCAATTAATTTTAAGATTTCATAAATCAAGATAGTTTCACAAACATTGATTGTTTTTTTTTCGACTTTAAAAAATAAAATTTTGAAGCTATCATAATATAATATGTAGATAAATTAACATTTTATCAAAAATCCTCTTCAGTCTTATCTAAAGTATGAAGTTTTTTACAGAATTATTGTTATTACTTTGCGACATCATAGCTCGGCAGTTTCTTGTCGTTATTAAAAGAATGAGAGAGGCAAATAAAGATTTAACTTTTGACTTCTCATCATAATAAGTTGTATTTGGATGCATGCAAGATATTAAACTAAAATAAATGATTAGTTCAATATCGAGCAAAATTTATAATTCTAAAACCTTTAAAAAGACTAAGGGGTTTAAATTGATGTATAGCCTGAGCCTATCATTTAGCCTATATATCCTGCAGAAAATACTTAGAATCCATTTTTTTAGAATTTAAGACTAAAATGTAGACCATTAGCCTATTAGGTAATGCGAAATATTTCTGTCAAATCGTTATATTTTGATTTTCTAACAGTGTACGGCTAAAAAGTTAAAGGAGCATTTTTGGAGAAAGATTTTTAAAAAATTTAGATTTTTAATTTTATAAAACTATAAAATTACAGATTTGAGATTTGAAATTAAGTGCGCGGCAATGATTTCACATGGATTGTTATCATTACCGTGCTTCAGTTAATCCTCATAACAGGAAGCGTGCACATAATATTTTAGTGCGCGCATGTTCAGTGTTGAACATTAATTTAAGTGAAATCTAATTTCAAAAGAGGTTTTTAGTACGCATGTATTATGAAGAGAGTACACAAAAGTGTAGAAGGGGGGGAGAAGTTTGTGTAATGGAAGTTTAGATTGAAGAAGTGTTGTCTGCGTAAACATAAATTGTGTAATGTTGTATGCGTGGACCCAAATTGTGTAATGTTGTCTACATGAACATAAATTGTGTAATTTTGTCTGAGTAAACACAAATTGTGTAACGTTGGATGCGTAATAATAACTTGTGTAATGTTGTCTGCGTATACATAAATTGTATAATGTTGTATGCGTAAACACAAAAAGTGCAATGTTGTCTACGTAAATACAAATTATGTAATAATGAATACGCGTAGACACAAATTGCGTAATATTGTCTGCGTGTACAACCTTGAAAATATGTCGAGACAATTATGAAATGATTTACGATTAATTAAAAACTTAAAGTTCTCACACATATATAATTAAACAACTTTTTAACAAGTAGTTTTCTATATAGTTTCATTATTCATTTTACTAGTTTTCTTTATAGTTTCATTATTCATTTTACAAGTTTTCTATACAGTTTCATTATTCATTTTACTAGTTTTCTATCTTTCAAAGTTAAAAAAATTATTTTGCGAAACAAAAAATGAAATTTTATTAAAAATAAAATCAGGTTTTTCTTGAACAAAATCATGTCATGTTTGCCGTTTACCCCTCTTTTTGACCTGATATCTTAACACCCTATTACCTGAAAATCCTAAACTTCACATTTTATTCCTCTATTTCACTCAAATTTCCTTTTTATCTTACGTATTTGAGTGTTTTTTAATACAACACTAATTTACAAAAAAAAAATCCAGGAAATTTTTTTTGAAATCCTGTCCATAAATCCCCTGAAATGAACCGGATCTGAATGATCAGCTGTAAGCTGACCCCTCTCCTCCCTCTAGCTTGAACATTCTTCTCTATATAGTAAACTAAACACGGTGCAGTTAATTCTATACACCTGGAGATTGGAGAACATACCGGAATAGAAAGTATATCCTTCTATCCTACATTTTAATCAGGAACAATTATTTACACAAATGATTAGCTACTTATGTATACTTTGCTTTTCTGTTTGGTTGTATCCAATAAACATCAAAACGGCTGAACCGATCGGGCCTAATTTTTTTAAGGGACCTCGGGTGACCCCAGGGAAGGTTTATGGATGATAGAATTTTCATAAATGATTTTTGAAAATTTTGAAAATCCACGATTTTTTTATAAAATCGGCGAAATTTTTTTGATTTTGTTTTACAATGTTTAAAAAGAGAACATGTTCACAATTGAAATAGAAGAATAAAAGCCTGGTATATAATAATGACAAGTCTATACTAAAATGTATTCAAATAAATTGTGGGTAGTATATTCTAAACCTTTCTGACTAGAACAAGCTCAGTGTTCAAAAGTTTGGATGTTATAATTTATAAATAACTAGGCTTTTAGGGTGCTTCGCGCCCATCTTCTATTTAAATGGTGAACATGTTCTTTTTGTTTACATTTTAAAACAAAAAATTCGCGGATTTTCAGGAATTTAAATTTTTTACTAAATTAAAAACCTTTAAAACACATTTTTTAAAATTTTTATCATTCATAAACCTACCCTGTGGTTACGTGATGTCCAACAAAAAATTTGGGCCCGATCGGTTCAGTCGTTTTGACGTTTATTGGATACAAACAAACAAACAGACAAATATGTAGACAAGCCAAATTTATATATAGATTAACATTTTTACAATATATTTTTTTTCTTTCTAGAAAGGTTTGAATTCACAAGATTAAATCGAGAAAAAAAAGAAATGCATTATTTGTGAAATATAAATAACTTGGCAAAGATTTGTATGTTTAAAAATACAGATTTTAGGTATAGGGCTACCCAGACATATACAAATACAAGTAAAATGTTTAATTCGGTCTTGTATACATTCAATAAAACCTGCTCAGTAAGCAATGATTAAATTTCTTTTGTGGAAAATTTGAAGTGAGCAATTTAGACTCTTCGTAAGATTAATTTTTATAATTTAGAATCCTATATTAATATTTCTTAATTTCAGAAAGAAAATGTCAGGTTTAAGTCCAGGTCTTATATCTCCAGATAGACCTGTTCGGGTTAGAGATCAAAGTAGAACGGGACTACCAATGCTCCGGAGTAGGGACCAGAGTAGAACGGGACTGCTCCGGAGTAGGGGTCAAAGTGAGGATCAGAGTAGGACGGGATTACCAGTTTTCCGTGGACGAGATGTTGTAAAATCAAAGATCCAGGTATGCAAGTACTTGCAAATAATAACAGTGGCAATATACAGGACTACCTACACAGGATGAGACTGTAAAGACGACCGAAAACTCTTAAAGGGAGTGACCGGCTATGTAAGGTAGTTGAACTGAGTATGCAGTGCTGTGGAAAACTTCTTCGTCATTTAAGACAAATAAACTAATTCTGAAAACGTATCCACCCCCAAAGTAGGAGTTTTGAACGTCGAATTTGCGCTCAAACCAGGATTTACAGATCTCTTATATAATTTAATATGTCTCAAATGAATCCAAAAGAAGTTTTCCACAAAACTGCATACTCAGTTCAATTACCTTACATAGCCGATCACTCCCTTTAAAATGTGACAATCCCAAAGTTAAATTAAGTATTACGATATAGTAATCTAATGGCTTCTATATTGATTTAGCAAAGAAAGAAACAAGTTTACAGTTGCAGGGAATCGTAAATATTAGGAAACAGAGAGTAGAAATTCCGCACAATCGTCTGTGAAGTCTTATTCTTTGTGGTTAACCCTGTATATCTTCATAATGAAGCAAAATAACTTGATAGTGTTAAGACGACTTGAAGAATTCGTTCAGATAACGCAGCAAAGATTTATTTTTCAGAAAGAAAACTGCTTATAAACAAGCCTGAATAGAACATGATATATAACTTTGTAAAAATTTGGTTTCTTTAGAACTTTGGACCTTCTCCTCCTTCTCCTCCTCCTAGCAGAAGAAGAGAGAAATCACTGACCAATCAGAGATGGAGTAAACCTGAACCTGAACCTTCTCCATCCAATCCTTCTCCAAGATGGAACTGTAAATCTGAACCAGAACTTTACCTATCCAACCCTTCTCCAAGATGGAGTAAACCTGAACCAGAACCTTCTCCATCCAACTCTTCTCCAAGATGTAGTAAACCTGAACCAGAACCTTCCCCATCCAACCCTTCTCCAAGATGGAGTAAACCTGAACCAGAACCTTCTCCATCGAACCCTTCTCCAAGATGGAGCTGTAAACCTGAACCTGAACCTTTTCTATCCAACCCTTCTTCAAGATGGAGTAAACCTGAACCAGAACCTTCTCCATCCAACCCTTCTCCAAAATGGAGCTGTAAACCTGAACCTGAACCTTCTCCATTCAACCCTTCTCCAAGATGGAGTAAACCTGAACCAGAACCTTCTCCGTCCAACCCTTCTCCAAGAAGGAGTAACCCTGAACCTGAACCATCTCCATACAGAGCTAAAAACAGGAGTAGGTCTACCTCAAATTTGCCATTTCGTCGTAACATGAAACCAATTGGTGTCGGTACGTATTATCCCCCAGTACCCCATTATCCCGTATATCCATGCAGAAAGGGGGGTGTTTGTAATCGACCTGCTTTTACGCAATATTTATCAAAAAACTTTGAGTAATTAAAAAGCCAAACATAGTAAATGACTCTTAAAAGCACTGAAAATAAATTCCATTCTATTTTTTTCTTGAGACCCGATTCGGCGAACCTACAACTCAAAAACAGTTACTTTCATCCTTAGTTTGAGCAACCAACTAAAAATACATTTTCTTAATACTAGCTCGAAAGAAAAAACTCAATTTTGTTAATTTTTTAAGATGAACAATATGTCGAAGAGGAGAAGAATGGGTACAGTCTACCCTGCCACCCAGAGAACTTAAACCCTTCCGACCTTGCCAGGACGGATTCTACTTCCTCTCTAGCAGTTAATTATAACAGTTATAACACCCAATCTCAGAGTAGGAGAATATCTTGTGATAAAAGTGACTCAGCTCAAAGTGACATTAGCTCCGGTTCTAGATCTACCTCTAAGAGCAGAATCCCCGTCAAAGTTAGGGGTAAATCACGGGAGCAAAGGTAGGTTGATTAAATCAAATAGAATTAAAGAAATCCTTCTCAATCACACTCCTCCATTAGTAAAAATCAATTATTATTTTTTTTCGCGTCGCGTAAATTACAGTAAATTTCACATTAGACTAAATCTTACATGTTTTCAATCATAACGTTTCTATCTTTTTAAATTATTTTGAGAAGAAAAAAAAAGGTTTTGAATATCTAATGTACAATCTAAAATCAGAGAGCTAAACGAGATCACAGAGTCATACCAGTAATTTCACATAATGTTTATTCAAAGTCCAACTTTCTTTGTCTAAATTGGTAACAATTTTGAGTCAAACAATAACAATTTTGGTAACAATTTTGAGTCAAATGAATTGGTAACAATTTTGAGTCAAATGAAAATGAAAGTAACAGAAAAAAACTAAAGTTGTAAGGGACATATAAGGGACATCTAAGGGACATAAAACCCCCTATATGCCAAAAAGTGGAGCAAACCTCAAGACAAAAATCTGCAAGGTATAATATTTTAATCTCTTTTTTATCCATACAACCCGATGTTGTAGACCTTTAATATTTCAAACTATGCATTCTTTTAGATCAAAATTTCTAAGGTTTACACTACCAGATTGTAAAGATATTGTAATAAGAAAATTTGAGTTTGTGGTAAAAACTCATTCCCTTGCAGACTTTTTTCTTAGGTTTTCTCCACTTTTTGGCATAAAGGGGGTTATATTGCATGGTTGCAACAAAATGTTAAAGTTTAGAGCAAACCAAAAATGGAGCAATTCCATGCAGTAGAGAGCAAACACCGTGAGCAAAAAAGGAATTTAAAAAATGTCCAGATTGTTAGCTAAGAATCAGATTGTTAAATAAGAATATGCGTTAAATTCTTTTTAAAACAAATTAATTCTTTTAATCATCATTTTCAGACACTTAAAAAGTGTTACATTCCTTTTTAATGCCCTGTTATTTGCAAAAAAAAAATTATTTTAATGAATTGTAAAATTGTTCACATTATCTATCTATCTTTGTTTATCTTTTTTCTAACTGCAGAACTATTGCAAAATCTTAAATTGCAAATGCAACGCTTGATGCAAGAGTGCAAGGACAAAATTTCAGACTATTTAAGTTTTTTTTGTTGCAATATATATTGAGACGGCAGAGGAGGGAGGGGCAATATTGAGACGGCAGGGGAGGGGGGGGGCAATATTAAGATGGGGATTTCCTTCTGATCTATTTTGAGTACAGACATAAGAAAATATAGGATTTTTGTAACACAAAAATACCTTCAAAAATTTAATTTTGAAAGAATTATTTCTATTTTAAGATCATTTCTGAATCAATGTAGATAATTATGTTTCATCCGCTACAAAGGTCTGATTGAAAACCAAAAATACTTTTTTATCATTCTGTTTTGTTAGGTTATCCTTTTCCCGTAGCCAAGAGGATTTATTAAACCTTAAGAAATCCTTGAACAAATCCTCGAATATGTATCTGAAATCCGCAAAATCTCCTCAAAGCAGGTTGATATATTTATAATATTTAAAATTAGTTTGTATCTCTGTTTTTGTGTCTGTTAGGATGTCTGGTCATAACTCCGGAAATTCTAAGTTGTGTGGGTCGACTTTAACAGCGAAAGTTTAATTTCCAGGCTAATCTAGGTTTCCAAGCTAGAAATATATAAAGTAGTAATCTCTGTTTGTATATCCGATTATAACTTTATAACTCGGGAACCCCTGGACCGACTAGTATTTGATAAACCGTTATTATGAGTTTTATAACATATAATGAAACTCTTATAATACTATATTGAATTATTTGAGTTTTTTTTACAATATTATTAACATTAATAATATTATGAAAATAGTAATAAGGTTTATAACATTTTAGGAAGCAATCACAAGTTTTGGTGTCAGATGTACAAAATCATAATATACAGGAGCAAGCTAAGGAGGAACAGGGGCCTAATGTACAGAAACAAAGTGTACTTACATCAAGTGAACAGAAAAAAAATAAACTCCCATCAAGCGTACTGCAATTAAATGTACAGGAACACAGTGTATTGCAATCAAGTGTACAGGAACAAAGTGTACAGGAACACAGTGTACATCCATCAAGTGTACTGGAACAAAGTGAACTTCCATCAAGTGTACAGGAACAAAGTGAACTTCCATCAAGTGTACAGGAACAAAGTGAACTTCCATCAAGTGTACAGGAACAAAGTGTACTTCCATCAAGTGCACAGGAACAAAGTGAACTTCCATCAAGTGTACAGGAACAAAGTGTACTTTCATCAAGTGCACAGGAACAAAGTGAACTTCCATCAAGTGTACTGGAACAAAGTGAACTTCCATCAAGTGTACAGGAACAAAGTGAACTTCCATCAAGTGTACAGAAACAAAGTGAACTTCCATCAAGTGTACAAGAACAAATTGTACATCCATTATGTGAACAGGAACAAATTAAACTTCCATCAAGTGTACAGGAACAAAGTATACTTCAACCATGTGTACAGGAACAAGTTCAGAACCAGAATGTACAGCAACTAAATGTACAACCACTAAGAGGACAGCAATCTGTCCAATCTGTCCAATCTGTACAATCTGTAAACGAAAATGAAAAATTGACAATACTAGATGATTTCAACTATTCTGCTTATACTAATGTAAAAATAAGATATGAGAAGTACTCAAGCATTTATGAAAATGTTCAGGGACAAATCGAAGATAAATGTTTTGTAGAACAGGGATGTAATACAGATGATACAAAGAAAATTGATGAACTAATGAACGAGAAAATTACAGAAAATAAGTTTCATAAAGAAAATACAGACGATAGCGAATTTTTCTACGAGAAAGTTAGTGAGAATAAATCCGGGAAAATGTGGGAAACTGAATCGGAGAAAATACGGGGAAATGAATCTGAGAAAATGCGGGAAACTGAATCGGAGAAAATACGGGGAAATGAATCCGAGAAAATGTGGGAAATTGAATCGGAGAAAATACAGGAAAATGAATCTGAGAAAATCCGGGAAACTGAATCGGAGAAGATGACTGACATCGAGGCGGAAAACGCCGGTCCTTCAACGCAGAATGAAAAAGTAAACAAAGCCGGAGAATGTTGGACTCCTGCCAAATGTTTTCAATTAAATATCAGAGATACCGAGGGGCCAGGAGTAGGGGGGACACCAAACAATCTTAGATTAAAAATACAGGGATCAATCTTTTAATAATGCAATCTTCTTCCCCTAAAAAAATAATTGTTTTGATTTCAAATTTTATTATTCTAAAAATATATTCAAGATTGATTATAAAGGAGAAAGATACGTCAGTTTTAAACCTACCCCTGAGTAAGGATGAATGGGGATTAGAACCTATTTATGAAGGATTGGACATCAATCATACTGCAAGGTATCTAATTTTTGGGACGGATTGTATCAGGGTTGGTTACTATAAACTAGGAGTTAGGACGGATTGTATCAGGGTTGGTTACTATAAACTAGGAGTTAGGACGGATTGTATCAGGGTAGGTTACTATAAACTAGGAGTTAGGACGGATTGTATCATGGGTTATTACTTTAAGTGGGGATTTGGGACAGAGAGAATATTTCTTCTGATTTAGAGAATGTGATATCCCGGAGCCTCCTTCAAGGAGTCGGAGTAGGAGACTCGGGCTCAGTCCTTACTTTGCCAGGAGAGAAGGAGGTCTAGGGGCTAAACAAAAGGAGAAAAGGTAAACTCTGAAAAAGGGGAAACACAGTTTGAAAAAGGGGGGTGGGGTGAGTGATTTTACGGTCTATAGCAATTGGAAAAGAGTTGTACAGTGTATACAGCTAATACAATTTAGAATTTAAACCAGCTTTAAGTCCAAAACTGACTAGAACTTGTTGGGAAATAGTTTTACAAATAAGATATTGCAATCTATATTTATATATACTCTGCTTGTCTGGGTGTTTGTTTGTTTGTTTGTATCCAATAATCGTCAAAACGGCTGTTTGCGTTTCGTTCCGCAAAAATTGCGCAACAGTTTTGCGAATGGAAACCCTAAACCTAACCCACAAATAATACAAAATTTACAGCTGTCGCAGGTCCGATATTGCAGTAGGTCGGAAAGTTAGTATGCCATGTGGGAGAACTGGTCTGATTAAAAGTGTCCAGCTTAGTGGTATAAAACTAGGCTTTTTTTGGAACAATTTAAGCCTTTAACTATTGATTTTTAAGCAGCCATGTTTTGATTTTTTGAGAGCTTACTAATCGCAATAATTATTCATTTTGTTGTGATTGATTGATTGCAATATTAATAGTTTGTTCCAAATATATTAGAAGTACAATAGGTGGCAACAGAGAAATGGACCAATTATACGCGACGTCACAAGTGTCAAATATAACAAGGAAAACTAAATTTCCTCACATTAGTTTACACGTTTCCAAGATTAAATAAAAAAGTGTAAAAGCAGAAAATAAAGAACAGATAAAATTGCACTTATATTTTACTGTAAGATAAGCACTTTATTCTAAAATTATCACCTTACTTTGTAAAGCTTATAATTTCGCTGATTTTTCTGCTTTGTTGCTGAACTTTCAAAAATATTTAAGTTCCTCCAAAAACCTTCCCAGAGATCGTGTGTATAAGATATCA